TAAAATAATAAATAATTAAATAATAATAAATTTACATGGAGAGTGAGGTTCCATTTTCCATGACCGTAACTTCTGAATGTAGACTAAAGGAGAAAGAGAGAACAAAATTAATAACTTACAGTAGATACATTATGTCACATTATTAATTAATTAATTAAAACCACACCCACTAATTAATTAACTAGTACTTACAGTAGTACTTGATCTTTGAGAGACGGTGCTGGCGTCCAATAGGAAGACAGTATCATTAGTGGCAGTATCATCAGGACCAACCCTCTCACTCAGTCCAATGTGTACCTTATAGTAACCATCAGTGCCATACAACTCCTATAGGGGGAGAGAGAGGAGGGAGGGGGAGAGAGAGAGAGGAGGGAGGGAGGGAGAGGGAGAGGAGAGAGAAAGAGAGAGAGGGAGAGAGAGAGGAAGAGAGAGAGAGAGAGGAGGGAGGGGGAGAGAGGGAGAGAGAGAGGGGGGAGAGAGAAAGAGAGAGGGGGGGAAATAAGGGAGATAATAAATTAATGAACACACTAACACAGCTACAGTTTTGCATGCATGAATGTACAGTGGATTTGTACCAGATACATCATGTACATGTACATGTACATGTACATGTAGGTTGTAATTTCAAAAGAAATATGAAGTTCATTTTGTTGGAAAGTCCATTAAAAAGTTAAATCTTTGTCTTATAAATTTTTGCAACAAAAATACATGTACATGCTAAATCTGTAAAGTTTGTGTGTGCTAAATTTCATGATCACAAAACCAGTCAAATTACATGTACATGTACACGTGTGTATAGTATACTAGCTATGATATATTGTACCTCTGCCTTGAACCAGTCCATGATAATGTTAAGTTTCCCGTTACTTTTAATCGTCAGTTTTGAGACTTTAACGTTCCTTGGGACAGTAGGAGGGAGGCCTCTAGCATCAAAGTATTGTAAAGAAGGGCGAGTGACATATTGACTACCTGTAGCACGTACCTACAGGGGAGGGAGAGAGGGAGGGAGAGTGAATATAATGGGATATACATGTACACGTGTGCATGTAAATATAATGGAGGCTAGCGAAATAGTCTGGCAACAACAATAACATTAATAATATAATATTAATAATATTAATAATAATAGTTGTCTCCTCTGGGATCTCCCTCTTTCCCCTATTCTTTTCTTCTAGTCATTGTTTTTGTACATGTTCGTTATTTTTATAATAATAATAATAATAATAATAATAATAATAATAATAATAATAATGATAATAATAATAATAATAATAATATTAATAATAATGTACACATTTACATTTACATGTACATGAAGGTTAGTGAAATACCGTATGAGTGGTTTTTTTCGAGGGTTGCAAATTTCATGGATTCCCTCTTGAATCGTGAAAATAAAATCCGTGAAAATCAATTTAATACAGTACCCGCATGGCACACGTGGTAGAATTCGTGAAATTAAAATCAGCGAATTGGAATATTAGCAGATTTCGCGAAATATAATTCCGTCGAAAAAACCACTTATACGGTAGTCTGTCAATAATATATAATAATAAAATTAATTAAAAATATATAATAATAAAATTAATTAAATAATATTTACTTCAACCACAAAGCGTCCGTTGGTTATAGGAGAAATGAGATCATAGTCAGTAATATAATGGAGCTGATTCTACAAGAAAACACAAAAAAGCATAATTATAATGTACATGTACATGTACATGTATGTATCAATGTTTACTTTTCTATGTGATAATGTACGTTGCACAAACAATTTGTTAACATCGTCGTGACGGAGATACACCCACAATTCATTGATGTTCTATTAATAAATAAATAAATAAATAAATAAATAGATTGTCTCTTTGGCCATTATTATGAATATTATTATTATTACGTGTAGATTAACTC